TGTTCAATAATAATTATTAAGCTATTGTAACTATTCTAAAAATTGGTTTCAGTCTCCTTGCATTTAAGCTAACATTATATTCTTCCTACTAAGAAATCTGAAAACATTCTACACATAAAGTTTACAGAGTATGTGCACTAGTGACAAATTACCTCACAACTATTGGAGAGTTGACATATTTTTTAAATACTCGTAATTAATAGCTACCTAAAGCTGCAACACAAAATTGAAATTGGGAAAGTGCAGCAATAAAATCAGATCTGTGAACAAAAATCAGATTGGAAAATCAAAATTTCCTCCAACAATGAACAAAATCAGATTTAGCAATGAACAAAATCAAATTTGATTTATGTCAAAAACCAAATAGAAATTTGATTTACCAGAGCGGAAGTGTGAAGTAGAAGGCCGTCAATGGGGATTTGGAGTGGAGGGTGACGTCGCAGAGGAAAAAGGAAGATGAAGATGGTGGAAGCCGGTACCGAGGAAGATGAACAAGGCAGATGCAAGGATGAGAAAGGCTATGAAGGCTGGAGCTTTTGGACTACGAGAGTGAGGCGGAGAATGGGAGCAGAATCGTTGACCGGCAAAGAAGAGGGTTGCTCGCAATTGATCGGAATAAAGAGACAAAGAGAGAGAGACTAGGTTGGGTGTAGGGATGGCAATTCAAACCAAACCCGAGCTTAATCGACCCGACCGACCACTAAAATATTCGAACCCGAACCGAGAATAAAATAATCCGAACCCGACTTGAATCTCTTGACAAAGTGCTACTATATCAAATATGCCTTTTATAATCATTTTTTATAATTTCTTAATAAAAAAAATGAGACACAAAAAAAATTAGATGTAATATTTTTAAAATTATTGGGGTACGCCGAATTGATTATTAGTTAAAAGTCAGGTTCGGGTCGGGTTCGGGTTTCTGCTTGGAATGTCGGGTCGGGTTCGAGGTGGGGGGTTGGCATTTTATATGGTATACCCCTGGTGTACAAAACCGGGGTACACATAGCATTTTCCAAATTCAAATGTTCAAATTTATTTAATTCAAAAATTTACAGTACTTTTTTAAATAATCCGATTTTTTTAAAAACGACAACGTTTCTTACCCGTCAACTCGCAACATGCACTAGTAGTCTGGTGGATCATCATTGATAAATGGGGTTTGGGGGAAGAAGAGCAGACGAATTGGCGGCTTTCGTATTAAATACTCCATCCATTCCAAAGTATTTATCCACTTTCATTTTTATACACCATCTAATAATCTCTTTAATCCATTTTATCTTATAATTTGTATATTAAAAAAAATATAGAAATTATATATTAATAATCTATATGTTAAGACAAATCAAACAAGATTACACATGACTATATTTAGACTTACACATTAAGACAATTCGATGAGTCAAAGTACTTAGATGAACAGTTCCAAAATTCAAAATAGGACGAATACTCCGGAATGGAAGTAGTATTATACATTTATACCTTCTCTGTGTAAAAAGGAATCACAAAATAAAATGAATAAAATAAAAAATAATTACGGAGTATTGCTTATCGGATATACTGAAATTTGCAAGAGTTATGGTTGATATTGAATCAGTGTTTTTTTTGGAACCAAAACAAGTAGAAGATGCCTTCCATGATAGCGATTGGATTCTTTACATGCAAAATGACCTTAGGTAGTGTTTGGCAACTATCATTTCATTTCAATTCATGCATTTCAATTCTAAAATTTGAAATCCTGAATTTCAAATGACAAGGGGAGGTGCATGGATTTTAAATTAAGCATTGTTTTGAATGCAAAGAATTTGATTCAAATCCAAATTCAAAATGCTTAAGTTTCCCAAACATGGAATTTAAGCCAAATCCAGATTCGAAATCCAAATTCATGTTCCCAAACATACCATAAAAATATTTGAATGTACTCCCTATCTCTTAAATTAACTTTCTATTTTATTTTTCGGTCTGCAATGTAACACTTTGATCATTAATATCATTATATATACATAAATATATGTTGGTCTTATGGGGGGCCATCGATTACCCTTAGGAATTCGCTATTGTGCTTAGCAATGTATCAGGTATTGACAACCCAACCTGACGAAGTACATGGGTCGTGTATCTTGCGAAGCCCCTCCTGTCCATCCACCGCTCAGTAGTGGGGCTCTGCACTGCCGTAGTGACTATAGGGGTGCCCTATAGGAATCTACCTCGGCTTGGGGCTACAGAGAGATGTGGTTAAATACAAAGTGTCCACCTTCCTATCACCATTTGGTTTTAGGAAACATTTGACACCTCTTTAACTTCAGAACTCTGTGGTTGAGCGTGCTAGAATGGGAGTAGTCCCAGGATGGGTGACCCACTGGGAAAATCTAGAAAAACGATCCCACAATATATTTATTATAAAAATAAAGTATTTTAAAATCATGTTTCAAAATTAATCTATTTATATTAAGTTTATATAAAAATTCAAAGTACTTTTCGAGAAATATGAGGTCAAATTCTAAAAAGTTTGACCTCGAAAGTCAAATTGGGAAGTTAATGTCATGATGGGAGGAGTAACAAGCTTTGCGAGGTAGTCGAAAGTAGACCTAACAAAACAGACCCAGATTACCCAAACCAAATAATCCGTAAATGAAATCGAAATAAACCAAAAAGTGAAGATTCGATTATAACCAAATAACCAAAACCATCCAACTGATTAGATCCAAAACGAACTGATTATATCCAAAACCGGTTAAATGTGAAACTGATAGGACTTGTAACTTGTAAGATCTGAAACCAGTGAAAACCTGAAATCAATTATATCCAAAATTGCTTTTTCCTAACAATAAACATATTATATTTATGTACATTAGTGAATAATTATATTAATGTGATTTCAAATTATTTACTTTTATATTACCATTTGAACTAGTTATATACTTATGTTACTCGCTATGTCCAAAATGAATTGCCATATCTAACAAAATGTAAAATTTCATAGGTTTTAGATTTATATTTTTATAAATTGGCATAAAAATGAACAATACAACTTACAAAAAAAATGTTAATTAAAATTTATACATACTAGAACAATGTTAAAAATTTTATATTTTTTTCACTTCCCTCTCATGCAATATTGTATGGTTGGCCAACCATTTGCTTTGAAATAAATTTCATTTCACTCAATTTTTATCTAATTGCATTACACTTTACTCAATCTCAACATACTTTAACCAAATTGTTTGTAATTTGGCAATCCTATCATATTAATTTTATATCAGAACTAAATATACTTCTTTCATAACTTGTAATCTAAATTTAGAAAAGATGACTCAAAAGACAAAATATAAGATATTTAGGACGAATGAAGTATAAAATAATATAAGGTGATGAATCGATGATAGATTGATAGATGCGATATGACAAAAATGAACGGATAATTAAATTTTAATGCAAAATAAACATTTTTGCAAATATATCTAAAATCGAAATATACCTGAATTGAAATATATCCGAATTAAAATATATCCGAGTTGGAATGTAACGGAAATTGATCTGAACCGATTGACATCCAAATCGAATCTGAGCCAACCCAAAAAATCAAATCGGAACCAAAAAATGTATGGACCCAAATTAAGTCCAAACCAAAAGCAAACCGAACAGATCCAAATTGAACTGATTATAACATTTTTTTGAAAGATACTCGAATCGAACTAATCCAAACTGGAATTGATCCGAGTGCCACCTGTTGCAAAAGATTGCTTGACCAGACAGTTGAACTAAGTAGGCCTTTACGAACAAGCTTACTAAATATGGTGTAATAACCACTAATAAAAGTTGTCTCATTGTTAAAGGTTTCAATTAAATTGAGTAACTTGATTATGCCGACGAAACATTTATTCGGTCGCAAAGTTTGAATCCGTTCGCATGCTTTTGGCATTTGCTAGTTTCGAAATCATCCTAAATAGAACTAAAACATAGAGAAAAATAACAAAATAGGACTTTCATGTTTTTTTCCCTTAATAGCACTTTGCACTGTGGTAATGTGACTTTGCATTGTGGTAATGTGGCAGTGTACATGTGCAAATTACTATATTTTTTGGTAATGTATATGACCATGTTTGGTAATTTAAGTCCTATTCCGGGAATAAAAACATAGAAGTCTTATTTTGGTATATTTTCAATGTTTTAGTCCTAGTTTGGTCTTTCTCCCTTGCTAGTTTCAAAAGCTTCAAATATTTTAAATAGTTTTCAAAAGCACATTTTCAAATAATTTTCTACGAGAACAAGCTTACAAGGAATAACCTCTGCGATTCGTGATTCTTGATTTCCCAAACCATGTTTTTAAACTTCACAAGGCTTTATAGGTTCAAAACAAGTTTCACATGCTCGATAAAAATGAATATTAAGCTATCTTTTAGATGCAGTTTTTAAAAGGATAATTTTGACTAAACATTAAACGCACGTGTGTTCAAAAGGCGAGAACATTCTTATTATTTGTTAAAGAGCATCCCACATCAGAAAAGTATGAGAAAATTAATTGGTATATAAGCTCTTGAGTTGAACTAACTAATCGATTGGATTCAATCTTTTAATATGGTTCAACCCAAGTGTCTTATTACCCAATCCAGTTATCCATAATCCAATCCTAAATTCTATTATGGTATCAGAGCCAGTTTTAACCCACCTCGTTTGTCAAGGTGTCCGTCTAGACGTTCATTCCTAGCGGCCCGTTAGTCTTTAGCTCAGTTGTCCGTATGGAAATTGTACCCAACAGCCTGTGGCCTGTTTAACACGATTGCTCGTCTGGAAGTCCATACCCAGTGGCTCGTGGTCCTTTAGGTGTTGGCGCTCATAAAAAAAATCAAGAAAATGTGAGTTCATTTGCAAGTGGTCAACCAGTTAGATTCAAAATGGCCCGGTTGTCCACTTGAGGGGAGTGTTAAAGAGCATCCCACATCGGAAAAGTGTGAGAAAATTAATTGGTATATAAGCTCTTGAGTTGAACTAACTAATCGATTGGATTCAATCTTTTAATATGATTCAACCCAAATGTCTTATTACCCAATCCAGTTATCCATACCCCAATCCTAAATTCTATCATTGTTCAAATATATGTTTGTAATATCAACATGGATCGATTATACTAACCATGTTATGTGTGAGTTCTCACAAGTAATGACCAATGAGTTTGGAATGAAGATGACGGGTGATTCGTTCTTCTTCGGGCTGCAAAGTAAAAAAACTTCCAAAATTCCAGATCAACCCAAATGTGGGAAAGAGCACTAGAACTTTAACCTTCAAGAGTTCAAAACATATGCTACTCTCATGAGCACGAATATCAAACTTGACAAGGATGATGGCAGAAGCGTGGATGAAAAGATCTATAGAGGTATGACCAATAACCTTCTTTACTTAACAACATCAAGACTCACCAGCCGTTATGTTTTTGGTTTGTCTTTGTGCTCACCATCAATCCTCTTCTAAAGAGTCTCATCATTTGGTCGTTAAACATATTATTTGTACATCAAAGGTACCCAAAATCTCATACGTATCCTAAAACCACAAATTTCAGTCTTGTTGGTAATAGCTAGGGATACAGATTCTAGAGGAAGTAGAATTGGTAGAAAAAGCAATATTGACAATTTTAAATTTTAGGCCTAAGAAAAGCCTAAACACCAATGAAACTTGAACTCAATCAATCAATCTCTTCCAGAACTGTAATAAAACAAATTTCAGCCTTATTTAGTCTATCATCGAGTATCATTCTCTCTAGGTAGGAGTAGACAGGTCCAGGCGAATCTCTTTCACTAGTCACAAAGGCTCGTATGAGACGTTATAAGTTTGGAAATTAAAGAATCTGAATGGCATGTACAATAAAATTGTCATTGTGCAATAAAACTAACGCAATAACAGTCCAATTAAGAAAAAAAACCTTCCCAATCAATAGCCACAGAAAAATTGCAATAAACAAATATGTAAAATTTGAAAAACAAAAAAAAAACACAATGTAACAACAGGTGATGACTTGAAAAAAAAAGGGGAAGGGGGCGACATTGCAAGTTTTATAGTAAGTGTTATCTTTTACTCCCACCCACGAGAGGTCCAAATATGAACAAATAGTAAGGCAATTGTACATAAAAGTACTCCATAAAATTTAAGACAATAATTTATACGGGAAATAAGGGCTTTTTTCTTTACAATTGATTTGATTGGTTATGATCTAATTGGAATAAATTCTGATATGAATGTAGTGGTATTAAAGTTGTTTTTGATCTGATTTGATTCCAATACGAAAAAGTAATAAGTAATAAGAATAAGTTGGAGAGAACAAGTTCTACAACCTTTTTCCTTTTCGCAAAGGTTCTCTGTACGTAGTAGATCAGTAGTACTGACTGTACTCTTTTATAGGGCGCTATCAAAAAGGGATAGCAGAGACAATCTGCCTACTGCTCTTTGAGATCCTGGAACAAAACATAAACAGCAGTAGCACTGATGATAACAAGAACAGCCTAAAATATGTCCTCATTTCTTGCATTCCCAATTCAAGCACTTCCATCTTTTTCCCATACCTGCTTCTCCTTTCCATCAAATAGCCATTCAAGTAGTCGTCGATGGAAACCCACTTCTTGAAATTGCTTGATGCCGAAGCATTCGGATGAAACTCATCCATCTGGTGTGCACTGATACTGAACAATGTAAAGAATACAGCAGACCAATCATTCAGAACTCTCTGCAATATAAAAGTTCCATAAGAAATTTCTGAAAGGTTTTCCTGACTACGAGTCGTTTGAAGACCAGGGATTTAAGATAGAACAGATGAGGAACCTAAGATGAACTAAAAACATGATGACATACATTGAAAGTGTTTGTGCTCGTGGGATTGAACATCTTAAAACAGTCCTTTGATGATGCTGCAGGGTCGCCATAGATCTGCTTATCAGTGCACATAGTTATAAAGGAAATCGAGTATGATACCCACCAATATTGAAAGTGAACGAACGGTCATTTCAAGAAATTTGAAGCTCAGTTCCCTACATTAAAAACTTTATATATTGTGTAATATAAACGAATTAAGGCTAGAACATATTGTATTTTTTTGATATACGTGAGCAATTTAATCACCACATAATAATTTCAATAATACACTAATTTGAGGCATCTTTGGTGTTTTATACAAATCTCAGCCTGCTGAGAAAATCAACCTGGAGGCCACTTATAGGGTTATAACAAGCAGATAGAGATTGAGACTATATTTTGCCTAAGTTGAAGACAAGTGGAGAATGAGTTGCACTGGCAGATTCAAGAAAGTATGGATTCAAGATTCCTATGTTGCATACTGGCACACAATTAAAAGGGATTTAATCTGTAACTATATTTTTTCAAAAGTATTGGCCTATCTAAGAGTAACAAAAAAACACACACACAAGAAAAGGAATGAAGTCAATATTCCCAATAGAACACGAGATTAGGAGAACTTCAAGGCTAGGAACGCCTCTATATTCACTTGCATACTTCATACTTTGGTACTCAATGACTGTTTTACTCGATGACTAACTCAGTTGGGGTAAACTTTGGAAGATTTTAGAATACACATTTGAAGAATGCAATCACATTTGACAACTCTTCATTGTCTTCTTTTAGAATCTACCAAATTTACAGAACTATGCTTTAGAAATGTGATAACCCTTCATCAATTCTGGCGGTGAGAGAGAACCGTGTAGTGAGTCCGGAGATATGCACAATGTAAAGACATGAAAGCTAAGTGCTTCTTTCTAGTCTTTTTTCCTTTACTTTCTCCTTACTTTCTCCTTTCTCACTTCTTCGTCCTACTGCCCCTGCTACTGCGTTAACTAATCTAAAGCAGCAAGAAAAAACTCTAGAACAACTCCTTCCGTCCCAAAATATCATCCTAGTTTGACTTTTGTGGTCTCTTTGACCATAAATTAAATAAAGTTTTAAATAAAAAATTATTATAAAATTTGATATATCAAAACTACATCTTAAAATGAATATAATTATATTTAATTTACATAATAACTAAATATACTTTTTTCACAAGGTATGCAAAGTGACCAAAAAAAGTCAAAGTATGACGATAATTTTGGAAAGGAGGGAGTATAAAAGATAAAAAAAATCATACAGATTGCAATATAAAGAAAAATACATGACAAAGATGAATCTCAACTTTCTCGTGGCATGTTTTTCTTTTATGGCATCTTTATCCGGGGTGTTTTCAAACTCTATAGCAACTGCTTATGACTTTTGAGTAATGCCTTTGAGATATTTTAGTGCTTGATATTGTCTTTAAATGTTACAAACATTAAATAATTACATTTTAAAGCCAAACACTCAAAGTAGGTTACTACCTTTTTGCCTATTGCTTATATTAAAGAACTTCACAGTTATGTATTTCACTTGAGAGCTTTGCGTACTGTGTTGGATATCTTAAGCCTTACCCTAATGCCACTAATGGTCGTGAACTTTGTTTTTTTTGTATATCATTGTATTCCAAATAAGGATCATTTGCAAAGACTTCATTCCATCAATACAATATATTTTTCCTCTTCTATTCAACAAATTCATTTATTGTATTCCCTTCCATTGTTATTTTATCTATGGTGTTGAGTTGTCCTTTTCCTTTTATACTTAGTTCTCCCCCTCTCTGATTAAAAGAGCATGTTTACAAAGGCAAAACTTTAAAGCTTTATTAAGGAACAACTATAAGAAAACATCAAATATAGCTATATATTTTCATAGAAAAAATAAATATAGCTATATATTAATTGTATTCATTGGCTTTGCTAAATTACGCACACTCAGCTTGGGCAGGATAATTTATTTCATAAAAAAAGACATTAAATATGAAAAAAACTAATTTATTCTGTTCAAATATAACTTTTGTGAGACAAACATGAGTTTTCCAACAACTCATTTTGAGGGGCATAGTAATTTAGATAAAGTCTTTGTAGAATCCAATGATATAATTCATTGTTATATTTGATTCTGTAAACTTGCATGTATTTGAGCCTATATGATCATCAGTGTCCCTTCTTTAAAGAATAAACAAAAATGATACACACCTCAAATGTGAAAGCCATAGGCACCCGCCCAACATCATACATGTAATCTGTTGACGTCCCATGTGCTAGATATCTGTACAACATGTGGTAAAGTAAGGGTCAGAAATTATTAGTTAGAAGGAAAATTAACGAGGGAAAAGAAAAGAAAATGATATGGAGAACAAGTTTTCTTGTTTGGATAGAGAGGAAAGGAAAAGAAAAATGGAAGGAAAAGAAAATGAGAAGGCAAAATGAACTAAGTGGATGGAAAACAAAATTCTTCCCACTTTGGTGAGGAAAATGGGAGAAAACCATTTTCTTTTCTTTTCCTTCCTAATTCCTTGGACCAAACATAGTGTAAGGAAATGATACTTGAAAACCATTCTTTCATATTTTGGCCTATATACTTGAAAACATTAAGAGCCCGTTTGGTGAGTTTTAGAAGGTTTAGAAGTAAGCCCCCGGGTCATCCCATGACATTGGTTCCCAATGTCATGGGAACCAAGGTGTTATATGATATGGATTTTGTAATAGGGGGGGGGGGTGATATGAGCTCTAAAATCTAGGAGAAACGATATGGATTCTGAAATCTAAAATGAAGTTGATTTGAAAGATCTAAAACCATTATTTTTAGTGATAAGCAGGAGTGGCAGTAATGGGGCTGGTCGGCGGGGGTGGGTGGTGACGTGGTAGCCAGCGGTGGGGGTGATCGAAGGTTGAGGGAGATATCAAATCCCCATATTTATATCTCCCAAGTTTGAGAGATATCAAAACTCTCCCGTTTGGAAGGGTTTTGATGTGTGGAGATACCACTCGGAATTCTGTTCATACTTCACCAAACACGAAAAAAGGGTTCAGGTGATATCAAAACCCATATTTTCCTATACTGACGAACAGGCGAAGTTTTGCATACAAGCATTTGAAAATTATTGCCAGTAAATTTCTTTTTATGAACCATTTAGCGAAATGATACAGACCCTACAGAGCCTCCACCAGATCCAACCAAACAGCGGTCATTCAAATGTAAATGGTTCAGCTTTCCAAGCATCAATTTCATCCTCTGGGAAAGTAATCCATCTGGAGTTGTGTTCTTATGATCGTAAGGCATAAATAGAGCCTAAAAGAAGAATCATGTCAGACACCACAAGCAGGTTCTTATAAGTGAAATTATTATGTCATTGGTTATATCTTAGTCAAAAAACAGAATGAAAATACAAAAGAGATGAAAAAACTAGTAATTCTTAAAATATTAAATGCCTACTGATATGGTATATTTCTTTGGTTCTATTTAACATTTATTTCACATAATTGCTCTGATTTGTATAGTCTGCCCATGCAGAATGTAGCCATTCTTCAGTAGTACCAAAAACCTTGATGTTGGTTTTTGTATGGACCAACAACAATTTTACAATGAAAAATTTGATGATATAAAGGATATAAAGATGGAGTACAATGCTACATCATCTTGGAAATTTTGTTTCAAATTATTTTTCACAAACATTAGTGGGTGTAAAATTATTTATATACTCAATAAATTAATACAGTTATCAATATATCATATTGAAAATTACTAAGTAATATAAGTATATAAGCTCAATTCAAGCGTGCAAATGCATGAAACTGTTTTAACACGGAATTAGAGATATAAACTAGAATGAACTCAAAAGGAAATGAGCTTTGAACCAGATCAGCCCTAAATATGTGCATACATCTCTGACCAATGAACTGTTCCATCTGTAGGATATTGCGTGTGTCTATTTTTGTTCCTTCCCTGGTCTGGATTTTCTTTTGGTCCATTATTTATATTTCACAAGTAAGCATCCCAAGCTTTAAATTGCCTAACAGTAAATACAACAATTCCCCTTTGGAAACTAAAACATGACTTTTGATTATTGGGGATAAAATACTAAGAGAGCAAGCAATCAAAGGTAGTCGAAAAAAATATGATACAAAAAGAGTTGACATTGCAGAATTTTATTTAAGAGTTTTTATTTCAACCTTAATATTGATGTCTCTTGGTATCGACAAAATCGAAAGCGACATTAGGACTAACACGCCTTCAAACTTGCAATACATAGTATTGGAATGGGATAGAAATACTTATTGTATTCATGATGATATATGACTTGATTACAAAATATGGTAAGAAACACAATTATATGCTGAGTAAGTGTAAGAAGGAGCTTACAAGGTGGCGAGTGTGTTTCAAGCTTGGATTACTACAAAACTTGCAAGCCCTAATGGATTGAAATATCAATAAGACAGGCCTAAAGGTCTTTCCATATATTTGAGCTGAACAAGATTCTGGGGTATTGACCCTCCTATATGAGAACTGTCAGTCCCAGCCGTCCAATCTAAAAAAATAGATTTTAACACTTCATTCCCATTTCATCTATTTATTTCTTATCTCACCCTTTCTTCCCCATAAAATGAATAGGTGCTACTCTTCTCTCTGCCTCCGGCAACACCTTCCTTCCCCAAATGAATGCTGTCTCCCCTCCCAACCCCAGTAACACCTCACCGCATACCATCCAGCCTCTCCTCTCCCCTCTGCCTCATACGCGAATCCTCCCACCTTTTTTTGTCTGGCCGACTAGGCCCCTCACCAGTCCAGAAGTACACAACCTAAAGGCTCCGATTCTAGCTCTATTGTTAAATAACAAGTGTTGAATTGAATTTTGTTCATTAGAGCTAATAGTTTTTATTCTAAAAAAATAATGGAATTGGAACATGGCAAGGGTGCTTATTCTTAAAGTGTAGTTTAGTCTGTCATCCATTTGAAACAAGAGAATGATGCAGGTTTGGTATAGTTAGAAAATTCCCTTGAGCAAGTGAATCAGCTATGTAGAAAAGCAGAAATAACTCAAGGGTTATTATAGCAATAATTGTTAAACTTGCCTCCATTCCAGAATGCACATTAACCCATATATGTGGCTCAAATTCTGCGGATAGTCTACGCATTATTTGAGTCTCAGGCTCACTAAAGGGAGCAGTCCCAGGATTCTCTTCATATGGATCATAGTCCTGCAAAAAGAAACAAGTGGGTAGAGTGGAGGGAGGTTAGCAAATAGAGCCATAATATTAAATGTATAATGATACATACCACAAAAAATAGGGTGACTGTCAAGCAATGTTGTGAAAGGTGAAAACTAACTACAAGACGTTGGATGAAAATGCCTTGAGGCGTAGGAGTAAGCCTTAAAAATTTTTTTAAAAAATACTAAGATAAATACTCTGAGGTAAAAATAAAAATGCATAATCCATAATCATGTCATAAAATCATACTCCCTTCATCCCACAAAGATTTGTCCATTCACTATTTGATGATCAAACTTCAATCACTTTCTTTCTTAAATTTCATTACTCATTTGATAAATAGTATATTCTTGTCACCTTTTGTCTTATACACCTTTTGATGTAGATTTTAAATATATAACTTTTTTTAAAAATGTTACCCCATTTTCCATATAAATTATATGCGTGCGGGAAAATCATTGTGGGACAGGGAGAGTACAATGATAATTTTTTACAAGTTCCTACAAGATGGTATTTTAATCTACTCACGCCTCCCGTGATAATTCTATTACAGTGTTGGTGTTTCACGTACGTATAACTGCTTACATGTACATATGTAAAGAGAAAATTCCAACCTTTATATACATGTACATATGCATTTTATACTTACGAATATACTTACATGTGTGAGTATACATAAGAGGTCGAGAGGATGTGGGGGCAGGTGACACCCCTGCCCTCCCCATTTGGTCAAGTCATTGCATGACATGAAAGAAACATATCAATCCTTTACAAAGACTGCTACTTTATGCACGCGGTCAACTTTTTGGGTGCGTTTTAGATTGCCGGCGCAAAAGTAATCAGCAAAAACAATAAAGAGAAGCAATAAACACAAAAGTACTTGATCTTGACTTATGAGGCTTGAATGCTTAAATAAGAAATATACGGTAAGGTAAGGTACTTGCTTTTGCCTTAGAAGGTTTCATCTTCTTAAAAGAAGCAATAAGGATACTTATTTTTTCTTAGCAAATACCAAAACTGTCAATGGAATTTAAAATAAGCAATATGTAAAATTTAAATGTCTAAAAAACACACTCTTTGTAAACCTCTTTTGGAGAATGATACACTCGTGTTGGTTTAAGTTACCAGAAAGCATGTCTAAACACATGCTCGACCCAAATAGTAGGAGGAGACAGGTAGTTTTCAGAAAGCAGGTTTGTCTGAACGAGCATTCTATTGGAGCATTGGGCCTTATCTCCTACTCCTTTTTGATATCTCCGGTGATGCAGACAACAGAGCTATGATTCTCTAATACCGGTGGAGGTGTGACAGTTCATGCAATCATTTTTTAAGCTATGAAATAGATATTGTAAGCTAAAGAAGATGGAAATGTTTGGATCAGAGCATTGACTTCTCTAGCGGTGATATCCCTTTCTTGCAAATTCAATGTCAGAGTGAAGCTCCTGTAGCTTTAAGGTTTCAAGTGGAGCAAACCCTACAATGGCACCATCACCATGCAGAGAAAGAAAGATTGTATCTTTTCCGGTTGATTTCCTTTATTAAAAGCTATTAATTCACACAATGCAATAATTTCCTTCATTAAAAGCTATTAATTCCATCACCAGTGTCGGATTAAATGTGACTCAATCATGGTTAAATACATGAATGGGCTAAGAAACATATGGGATTTGTGGAGAGAAAGGGTTCATTTAAAGTCTAATAGGGAGTAGATAAGCATAATAAAATCATTAATAACAACATAAAGTCAAACAAACCTTCTCTTTCTTGCCCCAATCTACACTCCAATTCCTATTGAGATCAACTCCTCTTCCTGAAAATGCATGCAATATAGTGACGTCTCTTTCACAAATAATTGGTTTATATTATATATATATATATATATATACACACACACACACACACACACAAACAAACAAACAAAAAACTGCAAGACCATTTCTTCTTTCACAAAGCTCCCCCTTTTCTACACGCTTGCGTCCATTCACATTTTCCACCGGAACAACCTGAGAACAAGATAAAGGGTAGGATGTTGAGGAACGGTACAACAAACATCAGAATGGTTGACTATTTGCAATGGATTCATTCGGTACGGTGACTGAGAGGACAGAGATCTTACCTTTATAACAAGCTTTTCTAAGGAGTTATCTAGTGTATGTGAATATTCCTTTGGTAATTCTTCTTCACTTAAAATAGAAATTATTTTTAGTGCAAGCTCGGTTGTTATAAGCTCCCTCCCATGCTGTCCAAAACTCTGGAACACAAGTAATTATCTGATGAAAATAGCAGGAATAAACAATCTGAGATTTTCACACAGTGTGTCAAATAAAATAAAACAAAATGTATCAAAGCACAAACTCACTGTATTCCTCTAAATTATATGCATAATATTCATTCCCTAATTCTCTTTGACCCTCTTTAGTTCACAAAGTGCCAAACTAAACTCAGTAATGCCTAACCATTGCCGACTATGCATCAAATTAAGATCTTTTAATGAAAAGGGACCGACCAACCAAGAAAAAAAACACCTACCAGCAGAATTCTAACTTTTGACCTATAATCACAGTCTTTCAAATTCTGGCAATACGTAACTACAGTTGAATCAGCATGGTACCCTTTATTCTGACTAGATATGGTTTTGATCTGCATAAATTACAATTAATGTGAAAACAAAAAAAATAATAATCAACAAACAAGATCGAAAAATAGGAAAACCTACAGAGAGTTTGTCTGAGTGTCGGTGAACCAACTCCTCTATTTTTTTCAGCAATGCTCCACTGAATGCACAAAAAAAGCCAAATGGATTGTGTGTCAATGCAGAAAGGCACCCACGAAGAGGAAGAAGAAAAACAACAACTAAAAAACACTCATTTCTTGCCCCCCCTACTGACGCAATAGAACAAGAAAACAGTATCTCCTATTTATCTCGAAGGTTAAGCTAATGGTGTGCTAGAAAAAACCACATCAACAAGAGAACGGTCTCTCCTATTTCTCTATTTTCTTCTTTTAACAGCAATAGAAGGTCTCTAAAACAGGCATCAACACCCTCATAAATTCTGAGGAGTCCCAACTCCCATTCGGGTCTAACAAGGGTACCATTGTTGATATAAAAAATGTAAACCGATCAACAAGGTAAATGTTACCTGTTATGATAAAGATCTAGATTGAGGGGTGTGACAGCAGCTTTCCCATGGGATGCATTACCTTTTCCGTTGACGGTAGAAGAGTAAGCAAGGGACAGTACCATACACATTGATAAAAAGAAGATAGACGGAGAGGCAAAAAGAGAATACAAGCGGCAGCGGTTAAGGCTACGGCAGCCCATTTAAATCAGGAGATCCGTGGAGGGGAAAGAACAAAAACAAGGAAAAAGAACTATCATCCACGAGCTCATTTGCATCATGAGAGTATCTCAGCTAATCTAAGATATGAAACAACTACATAACGCAATAGATTGGGCGAAGGAGGGTTCCTTCTACGGGCAGAAGTAGACAGATTAGATTGATGGCTGCCCTGGCTGGATGGGAGGAGTTGAGCCAGGCCAAGTTCTTCATTCATTCACGAACACCTTCCTGTAAAACGATCGAGGAAAAAGCAATGTTTCGATTTTTTTATATTTAAAAAAAGCCAAATATCATCCAGAATTGGCAGAAAGGCGATGGAATTTGAAGAGTGCGGAAGATTTCAGAAAGACGGATGAGGTCCGACCTTGAAGACAATGAGAAAGAAAGGATGAAGCTTCCTTGAATCCTGCGGGACCTAAGCTAGGACCGTGAAACAAATAAATGTCTCATTCAGCTGAACAGGAAGAACAAAATGTCACACAGAGGCGAAATGGGTGAAAAATTGATGGTTGGGGTTTTTGTTTTGGACCATGCTACACTTATACCAAGTATTTTACCTCATTTATACATTGCAGTTATACACAAATATTTTGATGGTTTACACCGGCACAAGTGTTAGTGCATTAACAAAAGTTTACACGGACACAAAGTATTGGTGCGTTAACAAAAATTAGTTTTACACCAACACACAATGTTGGTACAAACCTGCGGTGTACAAATGGAGTACAAAAGCTTGGGATACAAATAGCTTTAACCTATTTTTGTTTTATGATACGAACTCACTAGTCTATCGTTTTTAAATATATATTTCGAGGTGCTCTAAAATATGGGAAAACTAGCTGCAGAGGGACTTTCGTTATCTTTATTTGTGCCGTTATGTTTTCATTATCTTCTTCCCAAAACCCTCCATCATATTCATGTGTGCTTTTATGTGTTCATCTTCTTCTTTCCAAAAATTATTGTTAGGTATCCCTATTTTTGTAGAAAGAACCTTCAAGTTCCATCTTTTAAAAAATATACTCCGTGATACCCTAAAATATCTAAAAGCTTACTCTAGAAAGACTTTCCTTTTTCCTTCTTCTTTTATTAATATTATTACTATTATTGTTGTTGTTGTTGTTGTTATCATTATTACTACTATCACTTTTATTATTGCTATTATTATTATAAATATAAATTAAGGTTATTACTCACTTCGCCATTGTCTTTCGCAATTGTCGCCGATCATTAGCCATCGTTGTTGTCTATTGGAACCCTAAAACATTTTTAAAAACAATGGGACCCTAAACTATTTGAGAAAAGTGTATGGATTACCATCGATCTTCTTCAAAAGTTCACAATATGCCCCTAAAGAATAAAAAGTGTGTCAGTCTCCCCTCAAATATTCAAACGTAACACACTTACCTCCTGTGATATTTTTGTAAAATTAATTGTAAAAAGCAATTTTAAATACTTAAATTCCTCTTCCTTCTTACATACTCCATACGCACAAGCTATCGCATTCTAGCTACAATAACAACCACACAACTTCTCAAGCAATAGCCGGTCGCATGGTTGTACAAGGGAATTTGTTTTGCTATTTTTAGTTTTTTATTTTATGAATTATTAAGCACTTAGATGAAATATGTTAGATGATTCAAGTTTGGGTTTTGTTCATATAAAATTCCCAATTTTGAAGTGTTTTGATTGAAAATTTATTTGTTCATGTTTGGGGTTTTTTTTTTCAAATTTGGGTTTTATTCATATAATGTGTACTTGCAGAATGGATGATGGAAAAATTGATTTGTTCATGTGGCATGGTGGTAAGTTTGTGGATGAACCTGAGTTATGCTATGTTGGTGGTAAAAGGCATAGATTTACAAAGATTCATATAGACCTAATGAGTCCATTTGAGTTGAAATACTTGTATGAGGGGATTGAGAGCAATAACAATCCTGATAGTTTCTTCCCTAATGCTCCGTGGAAGAAGCAGATGGGTTAATGGAGATTAATGGAGATTAAATGGAGATAGTTTCTTCCCTAATCTTGATAGGGTTTGCTACCGTCTATGCTGAGAGTGACTAAAGTGGAAAAGTACTTGCAGATAACATTTTGTTGCCGGTTGGGTTGAATCAAGCAAAGCATCAAGAGATCAACATATTGAACAGGGTTTAAACTCTGAAGGAGCAATGAATATAATGTCCAAAATGTTAGTGAGGGGTTTTGAATGTATTGTTGAGGAGAAAAGTGATTGGGATAAAGTGATAATCACCAGTGATAAATTTTGTAACTTTGAAAATTATAGATCAGCAAGAGAGAAAACATTTACCTCAATATTGATTGGAAATATTTCAATGGATTACCCTGAACCTATTAAACTAACTCAAAATACTACATAGCCCAAACAACACTACTAAATACCTCAACTTACTTCAAAAGAGCCACTAGAACAACAACAACAAGGCCCAACACATTACAAAGTTTCTTTATATATGGTATCATATAGATCCACACCCCTATTGATTCTCACTAGGCACTACTTCATTCACTTTGTTTTCAGTCCCACATGCATTCTCAACCTCATGCCGGTAGCTCTCCATCTCAAGTTCTCTGTAGTTCCGAACAAAGCGAGCCATTACTCTAATACCCTGTATTAAGATGGGAATAAGAAGAGCTAAAAAGGATTGATAGTACTACTCATACCAACATGGTACATCTTTTTTTAGAGTTTATCACTTAAAAATAGGGGTGGGCATGAAATCCGTTCCCGTTGGACCGTTCCGAAAAAACTTGGTTCCGTTTTGTAATTGTACCGATATATTGGGACACATTTTTTTATCCTGAACCCTTTCTATCCCAATATCAAATAGAACATGAGCGGGTCAACTAAAATTTATACTGATCCGTCCCGTTTGTCCCGTTTCATCTACTCTACTAATATATGATACTAATTCTAGTCCAAAATTTAAATATACTAATTCTATAATTAATTAGTTATTTAATTAATTTAACTTCATAGGCTTGAAATTTATTTGGACCCATTCCACTCATTGTTTTTTGTTGGATGGCTACATGTTTCTTTTTTTTGAATGAAAAGTCACTCTCTCCCATTTTTTATATTTGCGATTTAGGACAAAATAAGAAGACCCGAATCCGTCCCGTTTTATTCCGATCCCGAATTTTATGGGACAAACCGGGATAAGGTTGTAACCTGAACCGTTCAAGACCGTTTATATATAACGGGACAAGACGTGGGACAACCTAAAACCGAACCGTCCCGATCCGTGCCTACTCCTACTTAAAACTCTTTCCTTGTGCATGCACGAGTGCATGAGGACAAAGTGCGCAGGAAAAACTTGTGTTGTTTTGTGGGCCCAGCCTACAATCCTATGAGTAAATACTTAAGGCCAAAGTTGGGGCCGAGGTGTTATAAATAGTATCAAAGCAACATTGTGACCATGACGGTCAAAATAGCTTAGTTTAATTACCTTGCGGGGAAGATATAGGGGATTGAAAAAAAGGATGCAACGAGAATATTTCATTCTTAAGTTGGGTGAATTTAATACCTTATGCTAATATGCAAATAGAAAGAGCTCAAAAGGATTTATAATACTACTCATACCAACAAGGTGCATCTTCTTTTCGAGAGTTCATCACTTAAAAACTCAAAGCTAAGTGTGTTTAACTTAGAACAATTTTAGAATGGGTGACCCTGGGAAGTTCCTTGGGCACGCATGAGTGAGGACGAAGTGTGCGGGAAACACTTGTGTTGGTTTATGGGGCCAGTCTACAATCCTATGAGCAGACACTTACGATCAAGGTGGGGGCCAGGGTGTTACAATTACAGAGTAGTTAATTGGGAGCGGCTCACCTTGAAATTCATCCTTCAATGGATGGCACCAAAGAAAAAACCCATAGTGATCACAAGTATAAAAAAGTCTACCTTTGTTTGGCTTGTTATGGTCAATCACAATGCCAGTTACACAATTTCTTGATTGAGGTGCACAATCACACACTACCGTACCATAGCATAGATTTAATTTAGGCTTTGCCATATTCAAGTTGGAAGAAATTACTTCAAATTGTCTCCTTGTCAAAACCTTCTTCTTCACACGGTTGTTGGAAGTTGAAGAGGAAAATAACATGGTCAAGGTGATGAAATATACCGATTGAAAATAGATTGAAAAGGATGCCTTATGTTGGCGAAATCAAGAAGATAAATTGGGGGAGGGTTATTTAGATAGTTCGAAAGGGCCGAGGTGAATCACAAGTATAGAAAAGCCTACCTTTGTTTGGCTTCTCATGGTCAATCACAACGCGAATTACACAATTTCTTGATTGATGTGCACAATCACACATTACTGTACCATAGCATAGATCTAATTCAGGCTTCGCCATCTTCAAATTGGAAGAAATTGCTTCAAATTGTCTCTTTGTCAAAACCTTCTTCTTCACAGGATCGTTGGAAGTAAAAAAGGAAGATGTCATGGTCTAGTCGATGAAATATCTCATCCTAATTGAAAGAATACGACTTCTATTGCCTAAATCAAGAAGATAAGTCTAGGGAGGGCAATTTCGAAAACTCCAAAGGGCCGAGGTGAATCATAATCGCACTTTTGGTGCGTGGGAGCAACGCACACCGGATCTAGGATTGGAGGACCATTGGAGCAATGGTTTGAATATTTGAGGGGTGATTGGTGCACTTCTTATTCTTTAGGGGTAAATCATACACTTTCAAAGAAGTTCAGGGGTTACAACAAATATTTGAAGGCTATCTTCAACCTTTTCCTTCAACGATTTGAAAGGCTATCCTTGAACTTTTATCCAAAGATTTCTCGGATATCCTTAACCGTCTACACAAGGATTTATATGGTTATCCTTGACTATTACAATTTAGTGAAATACATATCTAAAAACACAGAAAAATACTCAACACCTTTGGCTAATGATAAAGAAACAGATTAATCCTTGGCTGGTGAAGAACATAGAATACATTCTCTAATACAAAATCACCTTAATGAATATGAGAGTAAATACTTTTAGTCGGTGTGCCCACGCCTTAGAGGGGGGTGAATAAAGTGTTTAGATAAAATTAATACTTTTTTGTTTATTCAAAAATAATGGTGCGCCTTTAGAAAAACAATGGTGTTAAAATAAATTTAGAGTAATAAATGCAATGAAGAAGAGCGGGAAATAAGTGCACCATATTTTATATTTGTTCGGGAACTCCTTAAGTCTCCTCCTTAACGATTTCCAATCCACTAGAACGCCTTGATCGTCTCAACACAATCGCCACAACGGAACTAGTTTTGGCAAACAAACCTTTGTCGATAGGTGTACACTAGATAGACAATAGTTCATGCCTTGAAGTATTCAACTAGCTCGAGGATTCTCCAATGGCTATCCTTGATCACTTCTGGAGATTTCAAAACTACTATCTACAACCGTCTCAACAAGGATTTCACGGATCTCCTTGACCGCTTCTGGAGATTTCACAACCGTTATGTCCCACTGTTCTTCAATGAAGATTTTACAACGGATTCTTCGACCGATTACAACAAAGATGAATCATAATCAACACCACCTCAAGAATATAGAATACAAATGTTTGGTTGGTGGAATAATATCTATACACTCTAGTAATTGCAACTCTATTATAGAAGATATGAGTGTAGTATATCTCTTGGAATCAAGCTCAAAATGTGTTCAATTTTTTTTTTTTTTGAGAATTTGGCTCTAAATAACCTAATATAAAATCATAGATTTTATGGACACAAAAGAAGGAAGAAAAGGATGATTAATGCTTAGCTTTCTTAATTAACATGTTGAAATAGTTTGGGTATTCATATGGATGGAATAGCAATTGTTTAATTTGAAAAGATAGTTGTTTTAGAACAATAATTAACTCCTAATACCATAATTAAAAGAATCGTACCGTTGGGGTGCAAAGATCAAGGGGTGGAAAATTCTCGTCCATGAACGATCCAAGTAATCGACCATTCCTGCCCAAATGGTCGACCGGTCTGGGTAACAGTCAGATTCTCTACAACGGTCAGTCAAACAGTCGACCATTCTATCCAAATGATTCATCGAGTAAACCATTGTTACCTAGCGCATGATTTTGTCCAAACGATCAATCAAACAGTCGACCATTCAATTGAAACGGTTCAACCATTGGTCCTTTGTTTTCTTAGTTGTGCGGAAGAAAAAATGTTTTGGTAAAAAGCTCATAAGTTGTTCAATACTTATCAGAATTGAGTAATTCAAAAATCGTTGATCTCGTATTGAAAAGAAGGTTAACTTTTGTTCATTATTTTTCGAAAATATCAAAATATATTTTTCAAAAATTATTTACCAACATTATTTTGTAAACCAAATATCCAAGAAAAAAACTGTGTGCAAATTTGAGCTTGAGCTTAGAAATATATTACTCAATCATCTTTAACAATAAATGATTCTAAGCAAGTTCTTTAGTACTTTCTTTATATTTTTTTTCCTCTTTAACTCAATTTCTAACACTTCCTACTCCATATTTTTTTTTAAATCATACATTATGATACCGGGTTAAGAGCTACATGTGATGGGCAAAAAGAAAACCAAAATTGGTCGTATTTGTATATAAACATTTCATCTCTCAATTTTTTTCACCTCATACTTTGTCCATTAAAGGGAGTGCGGTGAGGTGGGGTCTAAGGGACTATCAGGGGATAGAAATCACTTGAGAAATCAATCAGTCCAAAAGGTGGAATCGCCCACCCCAGGCGCCCCCACCCCCTTGCCCGACAGAAATGGTGGAGGAAGTAAATCATGGTGACTCAGTCGGCCAAGAATGCTATACCCGTGCCCACCGCGCACAAGGAGCCTCCTCACCTTTTATGGGATTTTTGGATAGCTCCCACACTGCCGCTTGCGGGACTCAATCCCTGGTCATCGGTCCAAGATTTCACGCTCTTGACCAACTGAGCTCTGCCCATGCGGGCAGCTCAGTTGAGAAATCAATCAACATCATAGAAAGTAGAGACCTCAAATCAAATAACCCAATGTCAAATTATGATAATGAAATTTAATGTTAAAAGAATCACATTATACACCAAAATTCAATCCAAGTAATTTATTTTCAACCATAATACACATGCAAAAAAGGTCTATACATAAACTAAAATGAATTAAATTAGGGACTAAAACCTTCTTCTCTTCAACTTATTATTTATTCTTATTGGAATCATATTAGATTATCAAATGATACACGAGATCAAGAACAATTTTTAATATAACTACAATCAAATCAAACCAGATTTAACCTTAATAAAGTCATATCATATCCAATCAAATGAGACAAAGAGAACAAGCACTAAATCAAATAAAATACTCAGAAAAGTCTACGTATGATTTTTTCTGTCAAGTCTAATTCTTTAAGCAATTCAGACCTGCACAATTCAATGCATACATTAACCTGTTCTACAACTTGTACCCAGTAAAAATTTGAGTTCACGGCAATATAATGGATTACTAGTAGGAGAAAAAAAAAAGTAATTCCAAAACGAGAAAGTGACTCAATCATCACATACTCCGTATTTATTATTGTTGGCGTCTGAGGCTACAATGTCTTCAAAATTAGAACCCACACATTGAAAAAAAATGAATACAGCTCTGAAAAATACAGAGGTACCTGGTGTGTCCACCCATGTCTGACAATATTCCAAGAATTTAACAAAAACCAAAATCTCAAAAGAATGAAATTAATGAATAGCAGATTCTGTTACACTGAAGCACAAACTAATTGCAAAGAAAGATGATATTCCATTGCGGAGAGCTTAACCATAGTCGTGATTTTGGCTAGTAACTATGATGACGAGGGAGGCAGTTCATCATTGGACTGTGGTGAAGAGGGATGCGGTGATGTTGATCTGAAATCCATACTTGGATACACACCGGGTGGCCTTTCTTGAGGCTGGATTGACAATAATTGGTTTGAATCACCTACCACATCTGCCCAACCGTAATGTGGCTCCGCCCTTCATTCAAAAGTAATAAACGTATAAAAATATATAAACTTCTCACATTTGTTTCCCAATTTATTAGATGCCGCCAGGGGCCTCACTCACTCATAATAAGTTTCTTCATCTACAACAATGTCCCAGCTTTCACCTGTCGTACTCTTGCCATATTTGTGTACTTTTCTGATACATAGAGAAGACAACATGTTGAGGTTTAATACACAGATAAGACAAATTAATTTTCCATACTTTTCAGTTATTGATATCAAGGGATCGGTACTGCTTTATTGATATTATGGTTAATCACAGAAGCCTGAAATTTTCAGCAAGGAGAATTGTAATGGACCATTACCCGTTTCCAAAGTGCTCTTCTCCCCATGTTCTCGACCACCCTGAAAAAATGGCAAAATGTTTGATCTTGCTAGACTCAAGGGATCAGTACTGCTTTACGAATTGATAGAATTCATGAAGCAAATAATATGAATGCCAATGTTATGCAGTATTTATAGAAGTCAAAAAGGCACAATGGGCTAAAATACTACTCCCTCCGTCCGGAAAAAATCTTCCCATTTGGACTTTTTCTCATTTTTTTGAAGTGTTGACTTTGGAAGTGAAATGTCCAATATACCCTTCATTTCTTTCCTGTTTTACAACCCCAACCCTGCCCTGCCCTCCCCTCCCCTGATCTCTGCCAGGGCTAGCACCCACCACCACCATCAACCCCAGCTCCATCGTCGACGTTGCCTCTACCACAATTGACCCAGCCCCTACCACAATCGCCCCTCAGCCCCGACGTAACCACTCACCATCAGTCGCACGATCCCTAGCCGCCAACCCGCCACCATCTCCTCCAGGAGAAAGAGAAAAGGGGAAGAGAAAAAAGAAGGGAAGAAGATGAGAAGAAGATCTACTACAGATCTATCGTAGATTTAGAAGAGAGGGGGGAGGGAGGGGAAGGAGACGAAGAAAAAAAGAAGAAAAAAGAGGAGGAAGAAGAGAGGAACGGATGGACTAAGAACAAGTGAAGGAGAGAAAGATAAGACTTAGGAGTGTGTGGTGAGGATTTATGGGAGGAGAGAGAAAGGGGAGAGAGGAGAGAAAATGTGAAAATGTTAAGTGGGGGTATTTTTGGTAGTTAGTGTATTAAAAATAGAAATGGGAAGATTATTTCCGGATGGAGAAAAAGGAGAAATGGGAAGATTATTTTCGGACGGAGGGAGTATGAGGAAATAGACCATATATAATCATCAATCCATACAACAACAAACCCACTATAATCCCAACTCTTTGGGGTGGGGGGTCAAGATGCACGCAACATTACCCTTGTAAAAAACAGAGAGGTTTCCATTAGACCCTATTCACATTAAGTTACTGCAGAAAAAGTTGTTCAAGAAGGTTCTCAGCTAAACAAAAATCTCTGATTTACTTCGAAGTGTATCCTAAACCATTTCCTGAACACAATTTGGTGTGCAGCTTTAGAGTAGGAAAGGGTGAGCATACAATATGAAATTATGAGCTATATGTGAATAGGTTTTCCATAAGAATAAACTTTGCCAATTATTTAGCATGGAAGGATTGCACCTACGGTCACCACTAGGCGATACATGCCAGGTTTCTCCCTGCCGTGACCCAATGCCTGCAAAGAACTTTTCTTCCCATTTATCACCCCATTTTGTTCCCAGTGCTGTCTCTGCCCACTTATCTGTCCTGAGACCAAGCAACACAATCAATAGTACTGAGCTCTTCTAGACTTAATAAGCTCTGTCACAAAACTCAAAATGCAATCAATCAAATTCTCCCTAGAATTGGGAAAAAAAGCAATGAAGGGAACTCCTAATACTTTCATGTTTCTCATATTTTCATTACTTAAATTTCATTCGGTACTGACACGGTGATAAACATGTAGTGTAACCAAAGGCGAACATGCAATATTAAGTCAAGCAAGCTAAGAAAGCAAACTTATTCTATTGTGCCAGTCCAACTGCTAAATCATCCAGCTAGTGCATTAAGGTTATTCCCATTAGACATTAAGGTTATTATTCAGACAAAGCATATGCATCATAACAAATGTAAATAGTAAATGTTCAGGATGGGTTTTGTCAGCCAATGTGCAAAGAAAACTTAAACCAAATACCATTTCAGAACAGATCCCCTTCCATCGTAATGCTCTCCCCACTTCTCCCACCATGATTGTTCATTTAATCTGCCATACTTATGAGCACCTTTCTCCGTCCAACCCTTAGCATCATACTTTTCCCACCTAAGTAATACATAAATTGCATGAGTTGTATAATGCAACGCTTTCAACGATGCAGATTCTTTTTCTATGCTTTGAGCCATAGTTGGTCTTTTGGTCAATATGAAATGGCATAGCACTTTTTGTAAAATATAAGGCAAAAATATTACTCTCCCCTGCGGTAACATTAGAGTCTCCAGGTTCACAAAGATATTTATCCACAAGCGCCAATTAGATCACAAATCTATGCAGTAGTAAAAATACTAGAAGTTAATCCAATAAAATGATTTAAGTCATTAAACATTATGTTATGAATAAAATACAGTGTTTTTGTAGGATGTATAGTAAGAATCATTATTAAATGAGCTATCATTAAAAGCTAACTTACCAATTTTCATACCATCCAGCATTTTCTGTGCCTGACTTTGCTTGTTTTTGTGCACTCCTCTCTATCCTAGCAAGATTACTACAATTTGAAAAGAGATTAAATCTGATCATTAAAATAACTGTTAGCTGTGATAAAATTGATATACTCCATCCATCCCTAAATTGAAGTTTACACTTTCCTCTTTGAGATATCCCAAAATGAAAGTTACACTTCCCTACTTTCTCATTAAGGAATATAATAATATGTGGCTCGTAACCTTTTTCTCCTCTAAACATATTTCAACCACACACATTTACTTTTCAATACATTTCTTAAACTCCGTGAAGTCTGTAAACTTCATTTTGGGACAGAGGGAGTATTACCTTTATGCAACAAAAAGAACATATACTCCAAAATAAATAACAATGGCAAGAGAAAACCTCCACTCATCTTGGTGAAGAACTTCACGCCAGGTTTCCCACCATGAATCCCCTTCAACATTTTTTCCGGATTTCTCTACACCTATATACGATGATAATCTTAGGGTTTTGGAAGTTGTACGTATACTTGGGCACTACTAATTGGAACACATATAAAGAATGTCCTAGAATAAATACGAAATGAAAAGGGTATAAAAATTAAATACAAGAGTACCTAGCTCCTTGTATCCACTCCAATCACTTTTCTCCCACCACTGTCAAGGAGATCAACAAATCCAATTAAATGCATCCACCTAGGATGATACTTAATAAGGTTATGAAAACAATACCACCATAACTACTAAGACAAACACAAAAATTGAGGATTTCGTTTGTTATCTATTATGGGCTATTCCGTTGCATAGTTAATGGCAAGTTCAAGCAAGAGTTGCAGTAAATGGAAACCATTAGACAGTTTCGGCATATCTGGTTGCATTAGTTTTTTCATTGAGTAGAAGTCTAGAAAAAAGGGAAACAAAAAAAATCATCATGATGTAGGATCAATGACTATCCTATTCTTGTAATTACCAGGATTACCTGAAAGACATGCAAAGAGGGCGGGAAGTAGCAAAATATAGTATGGTTTCTATATCACGACTGAGGATTACATACCCAAAGAAATGTATATCCAGAGACAGAAGCAGCTAATGACACAAAACTGAAAGTCCAAAATTGTGAAATTGCATTTATTCCTTTATTTTCTTAATTTGTTACACATTTTAGAGAAGATTATTACGCAATAATTCAAATAGAAGTTTGCCAGTAACATACTGTTCACTCATTCTCATATAATAAGGCTTAACAACATAATACATTAAGAACTTATATACCGTTTCTTTCCATTCAGAGGTGCCATCATGGTTTCTACCACCCATCCTTGCCCATCTGCATCTGTAACCATTTTCTCCTAGGTCTTCTCCACTTTCTCGAAACCAAGTACTGCTATCCTCATTAATGCCAGATTCTTTAATATTTTCGTTTAACAAATCAATTCCCCAATCCTTCTCGTTTGCAATACCTGTATCTACAGGTAAGGATGAATAAGGTAGATAGATACTTTTTTTGACCACCACCGGATGCAACCAAACATGTTATTCAGCCCTTCAGATAATAATTAAGAAATGAGAATAATCTGGAGAATGGGAAACACCACAAGGCAGAACAAGTACCTCGCTTTGGTGGACTATCACGAGATTGAGGGCCAGAATTTCTGGGTGTGCAACGGGGGAAGAACTTTTCAGGTTTTGAAACAAAACAAGATCTGTAACATGCCCAAAATCAGAAAGCTACAATTTAAGTAAAAGAGCAATGTAAGTGCAATAAAGAGTACAGGATAATGAAAAATACTTCTCCCCTGAAGCAACTGAAACACTGTGAGTAAAAATACCATTATTTTGGGTTTGTGCAAGCAGATAATATGTTACATCGCTTCTAATGTGCAAGTATAAAAAAGAAAATCAATTAAACAATGGCATAACAATTCGAGGCTGTGATTAGTTCAACAAAGAACAATTCACTTCAAACATTATAGAAATGAAAATCAAAATAAATTTCTATAGAAAAAGTATATCTCTAAGTACTATCCCTTCAATGATAATTTCAACAAGTGGGACAAAATTGAATCGCTATTGGCTTGCACAAAATTAGTGTATAAAACAATCCGTACGAAGTTACATTACTCACTGAGGAGAAACAAAGGTCATTGCAGGTGAACCATGAAGACGAAGTCGGTTAATCTTCCTCGGATCGATCCGCGACTCCTCACCCTTCTCCGTACTCTTACCAGGCCCGGAATTTCGCCTAATTGGCACCACAGAGTCTGGACAACAGCACCTGACGCCCCACAGATCTCTGCCAATAAACCTCCGCTTCGTCCACCGAAATTCTGATAATCCAGAAAGAGGCAAGGTATCGGCTCTCCTTGCTTCAGGCTTGAACAGCGTGCCTACAGCCCTAGAAGTTGCCGCCATTTCCATTCAGGAAAATGCCATGGACAGGACGAAATCTAGCACATATATTTGCAATGTAAGCAGAAGAGGCCGTGAAAGAAGGAGAGAAAAATCTGGAAAAAATCTGTGTCGAACGGCTATTGCACTAGAAATGTGAGCGGAGAGATAGGGAGGAAGACAGAGGTCAGCTTACTGCTACAAGTACAGAACAGAACGATAGAGGATACGGCGCGTTTGGTGAGCGAGAAAATGCGGATCCAATCAGAATATTTACTGCTCCCTCTCGAACCGGAGTGGTAACTGGTAACCATGTCGAGGATCTGTACTAATACCGTAATACGGAGTAACTTGGGCAAATTAGGAAAATGTTATTATTATTTGAGTGCATCTTATTTTTAAGAATGTGCTAAAAAAGTAAGTTTGTGAATTTTGTTATCAATTTGTTTGTAATTCTAGTATTACTCGACAAATTATATTATACCCAATTTTGGGAACAACCAGTAAGTACAGAGAAAGAAAAGAGTTGTGTTGATCAGAATCGAAGGAAAAAGGAGAAATCTAATTAGATCGGGTCAGGATGCTGTATGGAAATAGAGGCGCTCCTCAACCGAGGAAGCTGCTCATCGGCGCTGGATCAAAAACCCTAGTCGGGTCGGGTGGCTTAGGAAAGAAAGAAATTATTTATGGTATGGATTTTATTTTACATGAGAATGAACACTAAGTTATTTGAGAATGAGTATTGTTTTGTTTCAGAATGAACAGTACATTATTTGTAGATAAATATTATAAATATATTGAACCAATGTGTGAAAATGAGTAGTGCATTATTTTAGAATGAGTGTCACGCTAATTATATTTGTGTGAGAATAAGTACTACTCTATTTCAGAATGAATATTACCCGGATGTACCTATCTCTAGGTACATCCGGTAGTATCATATACCTTCTTAGAGAATGATCAAAGGCAACTTAAAAATGAAATGTCATGCCATGATTGTAACATGTCTATCAATAAAAAATACTTGAGCCACCCATGACAAGTCTTTGGAATGACATTCACCCATGTGCCAAATGATTGTTTTTGTCAAGTTTTTACCATTTTTTGCATATTTTAATTAATAAAAATTATTTTAGTTATCTATCTTATCACAAAAAAAACTTCTACTTTTTTAAAAAAAGCTTCTTCTCTCTTCAAAAAAGAAATTAAAAAAATAATTAAAAGAAGTAAAAAATTTAAAAGAAAATAAAAAAGAGCAAATATTTTGGAATACCTCGCACCTAGAATGATTTGTGGTCTGGAACGACAATGCCACACTCCAATTTTCATATATGTTGTCTATGTGGCAGGGTGAGGCAACTACCCTATTCACCGCTACCACTACTATAGCCTCTAAGGCTATTGGGCGTGGGGATTAAAGATGGATATGAGGGAGCATGCTACGGTATGGCATAATATAATATTTAGTTTGTATTGATACCGTACGAAATATTTTAGTTGGGTATGTACTTTACGTCGTACCGATTTCAATTCTAAAATTTTGATTCAGTATTAGTACAAATCAATATAATACATAGACACCTTATTTAAAATTTAAAATGTCACAAAACCGAGTTCGTATACTATACAATCCAATGTACCTATATCCGGTAATATTCATTTTAGAGTAAAGTAGTATACTAGTATTCATTTTCACACAAAACCTAAGTGCTCATTTTGAGGTAAAAGAGTATTCATTTTGAAATACCGTGATAGTCATTTTAAATCATTGTAGTGCTCATTCTGAAACAACGTAGGGTTCATTTTCATTTATTTATTTGTTACAATTATAACATTCATTTGTGAACAACGTAGTGTTCATTCTAAAGCAACATAGTATTTATTCTAATGCAATGTAGTGTTCTCACCTCAGACCACCACTAGATGAAAAGCTCACCACCACATCACAGGAGTCGTGGCTACAGAGGAACCGTTGGGTAGGTTCAGGTCGCTGCTGCCACACTCGTCGCTACTATAGTGGAGCCGCTATCATCGCCACCGCCATTTTTTGTGTGTAATTTACTCAATTTCATTTTGTGTAACTTACTCTTAGTTATATAAGTTTAGTCAACTTTTGTTAAGCTAAATTCAATTCAGTTAAATACACATTTTTTTGTTGATTTACACCCATATTTTTTATAAATAAATTCTCATGAAAAATATTAAATTAATAGTTTTAAAACAATTTCATATTCTACTTGAAAAACATTTATATCACTGTTAGTGTCCTTTATTATGAATAAGTCACTTAACTTTTGTCGAAAAATTATATTTTTTTATTTTCATTCATTTACTTAATTTTCATTGAATTCAAAAGTCCACAATATTTTTGTAATATCAAATATACTGATTTAAACTAATCAAATATTTAAATATCAACTTCTAAAGATTATAATAAACTATTTGCTAAAAATGATAAATAAATGTTTAAAACATGCCATAGACTCCGTATTTGTTTCTTGTGTCATGTAATTTAATCTTAAAAAAATAAAAAAATTAGAATGGATATGGGTCACACAAACAATTTCGAATATGATATGTGACAATAATAGTGAGCATATTAAAGAAGTAAAAAGAGATTAAAATAGTCAAAGAAATGAAATATAAGTTAAACAAATTTATACAAAGTAATTTTTTTGTCACAGGCAACCTCGTCCAGCTTTGAGCCTTTAGGACCCATCCCTCCCAAAAGCTCTGCCTTGTCATGGTTCCCCTCACTAATTTAATTGAGTCAGTATATACAGGAATTGTAGATTACACTGAAAGCTAGCTAGTAGTATATATTGAGTTTTAGTAGAGAAGAGAATGCAGTAGAGTAGACTATGTGATTTTTAACACTACATTGATCATATCATCTTGTATGATGAATTCCATAACTACTCATTTAAAGTATTATCATTTCCACTTCAGTTTCATGTATTTTTTTGTTGTTGTGGTCAATCTGCATAGTGAGTGATCTACACACATGTGAATGGCATCATCTTTATTATTGTATGATTCTCTAGGCGTACATCATGTTTCTGTCCAATTTAATGTTTACTTGTAAAATTCACAATGAATACTATTTTAGAACTTCTTATACCTCTAAATCCCTTTATCATATTACTGAAGAGAACACAAAGAAAGCAAGAGGTAAAGCTGATGAAATAATTACACACCAGTGTGAAATAATTATAAATCCATATTAAAACTGGACCCAGAAGTACTAATTGCTCAGAAGAACAACATAAGATCAGAGTCAGTGGGAGTGTAACACCCTAATCCGTCCAGCTCTGCAGCCCCTTTCGGACTAACGTATTAACTTGGTAATCGTAAAATTTAAAACTTTTCAAACACTTTTATTTATCATAATAATATTTTTCATATCATAAACAGTACAGAGTTTTCAATATTGCGGAAGCTTAACAAATCATAACCACAAACATAATTTATTTATATTCTTTAATTCAAAACCATCACATCCATTCCGACTATCTCGCCTCCGTCTGCCTCCAGGATCACGTCACATCATTCTATTGACCTGCGTGTAGCAAATAAAACACACTACACGCTCAGCGGTAAAGCTGAGTAAGCATATCTAATGCGTCGAACATCCACATAAATTGAATCTCAATTCATAATCAACCATTTGATATCATGC